TCCACAGCCGAGCCTGAATCCTGCTCATTTTAGCTCTTATAAACAAGCATCAATTCTTCATTTAAACAGAAAACCTGCATTTTTATTCTGCTTGTGTTATTTCAAAGACAATAATGTGACATTTCTGACTACATCAGCATGTTCAGAACTTCCTGGTTGTCTGTGTTGTCGTCACCGGACTCCACCGATGGTCGGATTGTCGTCGGTGGTTGCCATGGCCACCCCGTTGGCTCCGCCCCCCGTCCCTCTGTTTGTGATTCATTTGCTTTATCGTGACACTTTGGATTGACGGTGAACTCGGAGGAGCTGAGCAGCTTTAATCTCCGGTGTTTCTGTGTGTGTGCGTGCAGGTGAATGAGTCACAGTGGAAGCGATGAGCTCATAATGGATGACGTCGTGCTGACGTCACGGACGAACCCTCAGAGGCTCGTCGGTGAACGATGGAGTCGAGAGGCGACTCACGGAGCGATTTCTTTTCCTTTTCCGTCGTTTTGCCAGAAATAAGAAGCTCCAGAGTAAAACTACGACTCACGAAATGAGTGAATATTTAAACACTTGAAGAAATAGTCGCGTTCTTTAATTAAGCAGCAAGAAAACACTTTAAATAAATAACGTTTGGCCTCAACAAAATCAATCTTTTATGAGTTGAGACGACGTTTAATGAAATTATGTTCAATCAGCGCGCTACGCTGAGTCACCGAGTGTCATTTCTATGCTTTCGTGTGATTTTACGGCGTTGAAATCAAACACAGGACGGTTGAGGTTGGTGGAAGGTGTTCATCACTGCTGCATGGTGTGACATGAAATGACAAATTAAAAGAAAAATAAAGGTTTCACTAACATGCAAACTGACTTGAGGCGTTAAAATACGTCTTTTCCTGAGAGATCTTTGGTGGAACTTATCGGTTAATTAATCGGTTGTCAACTATTCAATCAAGCACANCGTAAGTTTTTCAGTTGGTTATTCATAGAAAATTAAGTTGGTCCAACTACTGTCGTATTTTTGTGTTATTTTAAAAGGATGTTTTGGTGTTTGAACTTATTTACCATCATTCCCAACACATATTTTTAAGTTGACAAACATTTAAGAAATTAAGTTGTTCAGATGCAAAAAAAGAGAACTTCTAGTAAAATTAAGTTCAACCAACAAGCTACTTTGAGTTAGTAGAATTAGCTATGTTTAGCTACAACTTAGCTTCAGAAACACAAGTTTTAAAGTTGGCTATTCATAGAAAATTAAGTTGGTCCAACTACTGTTGTATTTAAAATGGATTTTTCAGTGTTGTGCACATAATCTAGTTCCCAACACGTATTCTTAAGTTGACAGACATTTAAAAAATGTTAAAAAGGAACAAAAAACAATGTTTGGGCTCAACAACAAAAATTAGCATCGGCCTTTTTGAGTTGTGAGAACTTCTAATATTAATATGTTAAAGTAACAACCTGTACTGAGTTGGAGGAGTTCAACATTCTAACTGCAACCTGTGTAATGACTGGTCGCATAAACACACGTTTTTAGGTTGATTATTCATAAAAAATTAAGCTGTTTCAACTCCTGTAGTATTTCCATATTATTTAAACACAAAGAGTGTCCTGAAAGATAAGATCACTTTTATTGATCCGTCACCGGTGAAACTGAGACGTTACAGCAGCTACATATAGATCAGGCAGAGTAGGAGGCAAGACATGAAATACAAAAGTCCAGTGAGGATAAAAATAAAGATAATTGAAGGGCTGTGTTCACCTTTCATGTGTACATTTATGGCATGAGTATAATCACAAGTTTCTAAGTTGGCAAACATTATAAGTTGCTCTAATAAGTAGATATGAGGTGACGTCAGGGTGCAGAGAAATAAAACTAATAAGTCAATTTCATAACTTAAAATCAAATCTAGCTTCATGTGACAGCCATGCATTTAATGAAGTGGTGGGAGAAGGTGCCTTGAATTACTTTATAGCGCAAACATGAGAACTTCCATGCAGCATAATTATCTCTTTTTACGTCGCACTCAGTTGATTAAAACTGTTGCTAAAGTTCTGCTTTTGTACTTGTTGATAAAGCTCATAGGATAATTACAGCTGTGGCACCAACGTGACTAAACGTTTTCGCTGTTTGCAGCCTCCTGAAAAAGAAAATGGAGCTAAATGTGAATCTCCACGGGGCTGAGCGCCGGCAGCCTGATATTACAGAGTGTGTGTGAGGAGGCTTCAGGGGACACATGTTTGACGTTGGGTCCTCTGTCTGCTTCACCGTTGGTCGGGTTTGTGAGAATCTTTGTGTTTTGGGCTTTTGTGCCATTTGCAGATAGAGTCTGCTTTGCTGTTGTTACTCTTTCTCTCGTGTTTGGGAGCTTCGTGTGCTTTTCTTATCGCCGTGAGGACCCGGGTCGGTGTCGGCTACAGAAAGATCCGCTAGAAGCTCAGGATGCACGTCGTAGTTCAGCCTTTGTGTTGAAAGTATGATTAAAAACAAGTGATGTGATATGGAAGAAAAACCCAAGAAGTGTGCACAGATGTTGACAGATGTGTGGTTTTCCTTTGGTGATTGTAAAGCAGTGTGCTGGTCGTCTTCATCCATTTACAGTGTTTGCATCATTTGCATNTTTTCTACCGGACTTAAAGAGCTTTACAACGTTTTCCATTCACACACCAGTGCAGCTTCAGCGTTTTGGGGATCAAACCGACAACTTTGTGATCAAAGCTTAACCTTTTCTGCCACCTGAGCCACAGCTGCCCACACAATGTTATCCGACTATATTTTACTATATTTAAAGCAAAAGTCTGTATTTATTTTACAGATATTTACTGATGTATCCTAATGATTGGAAAATGCTAAATCATTTTTAACTGTTATTTTACAGATTTTCCAATATATAAAAAAACACAGATTGTATAGAAGATAAAAAGTATTAAATCAGGACAAAACTGTGAACAATGTGCACATCAAAAATCTGTTGTTTTACACATTTGACCGTAAAATGACAATATTATTTTAACTGTATTTAAATCCGCAAAAATTAAAAAATCATTTATATATATATTTACAAATGTTTTCTGATATTTTATACTAATTAATGAAAAATGCAACATTATTTTTTACTTGTCATTTTACAGATTTACCAAGTTAAACTAAATTAGAAACAATATCTTGTTTAATCACATACAAAAGATGTCAGTTTATATGTTGACTGTAAAAACAAACAAGAACAAAAGTGTAAATATTCGTCCATATCAAGAATCTGTACTTTAAAAATGGTAGTTTGTTATTTTCATGCAGTTCTTGGCAAAGGAAACCCCAGATGTTGTGCCTGTGAGATAAAATGTGATGATATGAGAAAACAGCGGAGATATGTTCAGGTGAGTGTTTCACTGTCAAATTACCTTTTCTTTAAAATCATATTAGAATCAGAGCTGCAAGGTGAGCAGTGGTTAGCACTGTTGCCTCACAGCACAGAGGGTCGCTGGTTCACGTCCCGGTGAGGACACCCGGGATCTTTCTGCGTGGAGTCTCCATGTTCTCCCCGTGCAGCGTGGGTTCTCTCCGAGTTCTCCGGCTTCCTCCCACAAGGTCCGAAAACATGTTGAGGTTAATTGGTGATTCTAAATTGGTTGTCCCCTGCCTTCAGCTGGGATAGACTCCAGCCCCCCACGACCCTAGTGAGGATTAAGCGGTGTATAGATGATGGATGGATTTTTGCAAAAAAAAATCTACAAATGTTTGCTGGTATTTTCACCATTTTATAATTTTTTTTTGTACTTTAGTGTTCCAGCATTTTTAAAGTAACTTACAGTCAACCTTGCTGCCAGAGTTTTACTTGTGTTTTTAACAGAATTATATATTTTTTTCAGTGTATCCTACTTTAAAGGCCTTTTGCTGCTGGTGAATTTATTTAAGTCGTATTTTTCATGCATTTCTTGTCAGAGGGACGCCCAGACTTCTGGCCTCAGAACTCATGTGTGACTCTATGAGAAGGTAGCCGTGGTGCGTTCAGGTTTATCAGGAGTTTAACGTGACACTTGCAGCCCCTTGACCCCTGCTCGCTCCACAGTCACAGTCCTGATCACCTGAATCTCACTTTAAGGTCAAAAATGTAAATAATGTCCACAAGAAGTAACTTTTTAATTCCAGTAAGTCCTTGTTTTAAAGTGTTGTCTGCAAAATTATATTTATTATTGTACCTGAATCAACGAAAACGTTTATTTCTCAGACATTTGCTGCTATTTTCACCATTGTTGAAGCGTTCAACTTCACAGGATTCCAACTGTTATATCATATTTTTAGAGGCTAGATTTAAACTGTTTTTTTTTCTTTTTAATAGAATTATTTTCATAGTGTATCCTACTTTAACTGCATTTTGCTGCTATGTGAGTTGACTAAAGTTATATTTTTCATGCATTTCTTGTCAGACTTCTTGCCTCAGAGCTCCTATGAGAAAGTACCAGTGGTGTGTTCAGGTTTATCAGGAATTTAACGTGACACTTGCAGCCCTTTGCTCCACATTCACGCTCCTCCAGGCCTCACTGTCACTCCGAGGCTCTCTGGTTCTGGTTCTGGTTCTGGCTCAGGTGCTCCCAGGCTTCCAACCATCGCCAGAGCGCATCTCTCCAACTAAGTTGAGGGTTTTTTGGGGGGCAGAGGAGGAGGAGGAGGATCCAAGCACCCCTGGCTGCGGTTACGCGTGGATACCCCTTTAAAAGGCTCACCATGTTGCCATCACATGCTCCAGCACCGAAGTAGGATGAGGATGTTGTTGCTGTTATGTAAAACGCGTTTCTTACTTATATTTGCGGACTTTTTGCGGAGGATTTCTTGACTTTGCGCGAGGAGGAGGAGGAGGCGGGTGGAGGCGGAGGAGGAGGAGGAGGAGGTGGAAGAGGGGGCCCAGCCCACCCAGCCTGTCAGCGCTGCAGTCATGTTGAGCTGCTAGTTGTTGTTCGGCTGCAACACACTGACGGACTGGTGCGCAAAAAAAACCCGAAAGCTGCGCGCAGCCTTTAACGCCAAGTGGCGGAGAGAAAGCGACGAGTCTCCAGGAAGCTCTGCAGCCGAGCAGGAGGCGGATGGGATAGAAAAAAAACACACACAGGCAGGCAGGCGGCTCGGCTCGGTGAAGGAGGAGTGCTGCTGCCTCTTCTGGTTCTTCTTCTGGCGAGCGGAGAGTTGTTTGGGTTCCCTTCCTTTTTTTTTTTCTCTCGAGCGGAACATCGGCGACATTGGTTTCCTCCTCCAGCAGCAGCAGCAGCAGCAGCAGCAGGAGGTTTGCTCTCACCTCTCGCCGTTTGTTTTATTTTTGGAGGGGTGGAGGATTTAAGGTGCCCTGACCGGGAAACCAGACGGAGGTGGTGGCTGCACACGGAGCTGCGTTACGGTGAGTACACAGGCGGCGGCGGCGGCGGCGGCTCGCGTTGTTGTGCGCAGGCAGAGCGGAGGTTCGCTCGGCCAGCTGTCCTCTTTTGTCTGCGCTGTTTTAGTCGTGTCTGGAGGACGTTGCAGAGGCAGATAATGGCCATGATGGGGATGGAGGAGATGCCCAGGGAGTGGTGCTCGAGCCGGACTGGCCGTGCGGCGAGCAGCCCTCCAGACCTCCACCTCCAGCCGGACTGGAGCAGCAGCGTCCACAAGGTCAATAAGAGGAGCTGCCTGAGCATCCTGGTCCACCTGGAGGATGGATCCACCAGGTGTGGGCAGGATGAGCTCATGGTGGGCTGCAAACTTTACTCATTTATCTTCTTGAGCTCATTTGGGCAGAAATAAAAGCCACAGATCATAAATAAAACCCACAGATGATAAATAAAAGCCTCACTGAGGCACATTCAGGTCGCACAAATGTTCATTTCTTCAATTTTTGGTCACTCATTCTTATCATTTGTTTATGCAGGAAAGATGTATAGAGCCAAACTCAACAACAACAACAACAAAATGCATCAGTCTTTTTGAGTTCATACAACTTTAGTGAAATGATGTTCAGCCAACAGGCTCCACTGAGTAAAAGGAATTAGAGCAACTTTTTAAAAGCCTGGTCGCAGAAACAAGTTATTAGTTGGTTATTCGTAGAAAATTAAGTTGGTTCAACTACTGAAGTATTTTAGTGTTATTTCAGTGTTTTGTACTAAATTATCATAGTTCCGAACATGTTTTTAGGTCGACAAACGTTTAAAAAATTCTTTCAGTGTTAAAAAGGAACAAAACTAATGTTTGGGCTCAACAACAAAACATTTTAGTCTTTTTGAGTTTTGACAACTTCTAGTAAAATTAAGTTCAATCAACAAACTACTTTGAGTTAGCAGAATTAGCCATTAAGCGTAAGTTTTTCAGTTGGTTATTCATAGAAAATTAAGTTGGTCCAACTACTGTCGTATTTTTGTGTTATTTNAACCAAACAACTAATTAATTTATCAAGAAAATACTCAACAGATTCATCAGAAGTGAAAGTAATGGATGGCTGCAGGCCTTGATGTGATGAGGAGGCAGAAAAAAGCCCAAAACAGACGTTTATAAAGGGGACACAAGTGGAAAAACAAGTCGATTTAGGATATTTTATCAGTTTATCTCATGTTTTTCATGTAAAATTTGTAGAAGAGGAAAAAAACAGTCTAAATTCTCTGATTCCAGCTTCTTAAATATGAACGTTTTCTTTTTTTTTCCTCCTTTGTGACAATAAACTGAATATATTTGGATTTGGGGGGGAAACTTTGGGGAATTTGAGAAACTGTAATTGATGTTTTTCAGCATTTTTTGGTATTTTACAAACATATATTATCAGTTTATCTCGTGTTTTTCATGTAAAACGTCCAGAAGAGAGAAAACCTGCAGTATTTCCTCGTCATAAACTTCCATACAGATGAGTAGAGAAGCTTCTCTTTTCTTTTCTTCCATCCCGGTGACCTTTGACGTCCGTGTTGTCCTTTCCCCTCATCACACAACCATAAATGTGTTTGTTCCGTTTCCTGCCGGCTCTGGTTCTTCGGGCCGATCCGCTCCTTTATTGCGGTTGAACATTGATCTCGGTGGAGTTTCTGCGGCTCAGACTCGTCGTGCAGCGTTTGTTCTGCGATCCGGCGGACCCACCTCACTAAACCTTCATAAACGTCATAAAACTTAATATACAAGTCCTTTAATGACTCACACCTAGACCCGTCATTAAATCGCCGTGCAGCGCTCATAACGGAGCCATAAAGGCGTTGCACAGTGAGTTAGCGGTGGATTCCTGCCAGCAGACGAATCTAACGCCTAAATCATCGACGGAACACTTGCTGCTGGAGTCGCTCTGGATTAGCGATATATATATATTTAGGATATTCAAACAGTCTGCGTTTAGTTTCATTAATTTTATTCCAGCTCGTCGTTCAGCGGCGCTAATCCTCCGCAACACGTCGGCCTTCGCTTCATTTTCCCCGACGTTCCACAGTAATTCCACGTTATTGGTTTTTTGGGAAGAAGCACGACTCCACAGATCTGCTGCTGGTCCGGCTGGTCGTCCGTCACACAGCCGAGGACGCTGCTTAAAAGTCGAACTGTTCCTCCGCTACAGTCACCTGAAAATGAATTTTAGACCTAAAAATAAGCTTCTAAAGCACAAGATAGAGAAACAGTACAGATTCAGAGCATCCTGTCATGAAAAAGATGTTTAATTGAAGAGACTTTGAGGGTTTGTAACTCGATGGGGGAAAAAACAGCATTTTATTTAAAAAAAAAGAAGAAACAGCAGCTTACATTTTTGTATTTCTTGTTTTTGCTGTACTGAACACATACACTGTAAAAAAAAACAACTTGTTAAAAGTCTTTAAACTATATGTTTAAACTATGTTTTGTTATAATATCTAATAAAATCACATTAAAATGCATTAATTCACATGTTTAACTGGGCTTACACTATTAATCTAATACATCTGGTGGTTTGTTCTTTTATATTTGACCATAAAATTCCACTATTTTTTATTGTACTTGGACCTTAAAAACATTATTTGAAGCCACCTGCTGTTATTTAAAAGAACAGGATTGAAACATGGTGAATATTCTTTATTATAATTATTTTATTTTTTTCTCTGTTTTGTTACATTTCAGGTGATATCCAGTAAATTCATGAGAGAAAAGTATTAATTTTCATATTTATCTTTAAAATAAAAAGGCTTACCTTGTAAATAATCTGTTTATAGAAGGTAGTTGTTCATTTAACCATAAAATTATATATTCTTTATTATACCAGCAAAAAAATATTATTATTTAAAGCCACTTGTTATTTAAAAAGAAAATTTCTTTATAAGACGGACTAAAAAATAGTGAAGATTTTTATGATAATTTTATTTTACTTTTTTTTTAATCTGTTTTGTTAAATTACATCTATTATCTAGTAAAATCACAGGAAAAATGTACTGATTTACATATTAAACTTAAAAAACAAAAAAAAGACTACAACTGTCAGTAATGTTCACATAAAAAACAATATCTAGAAATGAAAAATTACACCATTTTTCATTATATTTAAATCAGAAAAATGCAATTTTACAGCCACTAGCTGTGTTTTGAAAGAAATTCTTCATATTAATGATTGAAAATGGTTAACATTTTTTTATGTAAAAATTTTAGATCAATTACACATTTTATCCAGTTAAAAAAATAAATAAAAAAATCAGCTTAATTACATGTTGACTGTAAAATTATATGTCCACGTCAAAAATGTGTTTTTACATTCACTAATTTGTTCTTTTGTAGTGTGTGACTGCAAAATGACACTTTTCAGCTGTATTTAAATCTGCTAAAAACTAATTAAAGTGTTCGAACAATTTTTTTTATGTTGTCTTTTTACAGTGTAACTCCTTTACATCAAATATCACCAATAAAAAGACACAAACCAGTTCAAAGTCTCTAAAAAGCATCTGATTCCTAAACTCTTCTGCTCTTTGATGGTCTCAGTGACCATAACTGTGATTTCATTTGATCCTAACGAGTCCAGTTCGTCTGTTTGCTCTGTCGCCTGTCGTCTGATCCTCCTGATGAGAAACCAGATTACTGTGGCGGTTGCTCGGTTTCACTCGGAGACTTTCTGTCCGTTGTCCTGAAGGAACCTTTTACCTGCCGGCTGGGTTGAGCCCGTCACATCTGCTGGGCGGTTTTCTGCCTCATTAACGTCTTTCATTGGACGTTGTTTTATCTTCAGAGCGTCGGCGGCTGAAGCCCTGATAATTCACTTCACCGTCCTCGCTTCATGTCCGCTGGTTTTAATTAGAGCACGTGTTGAAGTGCGTCGATGCTTCGGCTCCTCTGGGGCGCCGATCGGCTCCATGTTGGGCCAACGGAGGTGTGATTTACAGGAAGTGACACTTTTTTGTGGTTTTCATGTCGGTGACAAAAAAAAAAGAAGCTTCTCTTTTTAAAATCTGAATGTTCCCGGACACACAGATGAACCATTTTACATAATCAAGCATCAGGTTGAAGGTTTTTAAAAATCCATTTTTATCTCGTTAAGGTGTTGAAATGGGCGTTTTTTTAATAAGACACATAATGATTCTTGTGGTTCTTTTAGATTTGGATGCTAAGATTTTAACTTTCACTGCAGTTTCCAGTCTCCTTGTTTACCAGTGATCAGCACCGACGCTGAAAACAAACACAAATCAGTTGACTCAACGTAGAAAATATGAATTCTACATTGTTGATTGTGATGTTTTGGATTAGAAGAGGTTCTAGAGGGATGTTTTCCTGCAGCTAGAGCATGCAGAAAGGTTTAATCTGCACCAAAACATCAAAATATTGCATTGAAATTAGCAGTTGACTGATTATCAGATCCAGTATTGCTGCAGTTTGTTAAAGAGAATCCGTGAAAGAGGAAACTAGAATCTGTCCTTTCAGTATAAAACACACGTGAGCAGCTCAGACGAAGCTGTCGACTCCCTCAGTAACTGAAGGAATTCATCATTTTCTTACATTTAATTCAGGAAACTACCATCATCATGCAAGTTTGGAAAATTCTTTTTGAAATTCCTAATTGCTTTCACCTCTGTTTTCGTCTGAGAAACTCACTTGAGCTCGATTAAACGTTCAGATTTGAGGTTTCAGAGACAGATCGTGACTCTGCTCTGCGTAGTGATGGTGTGCAGCAGGATCCTCTCAGAGGACTCACGTTTTGCTGCTGCTTCAAACTCAGGATGTCGTTTATTCCTCGTGCTCAGTGACAGCTGACGACCGCTGGCTTCGGCTGCAGCCAGCTGATCGATAAAAACACGTTTATTTGTCAGGATTTGGCAGAAGAACGTCTTCAGATCGAAGCTACGCTGCTGCAGGAGGAAGTTTTAAAAACGCAAAAGACAAACACCGTCGGTGATGGTTTGTAACGCAGCGACGAGACCGATTGGATCCTAAAACGGAGACGTA